GAGAACCGCTGGTATAGCTGAACCATTGGTTTGGAGTTTTCCTGTTCACTATGGGCTCCTTAATGACAATGGGTGCTATGACCAAGGATAACTTAGGCAAGAGTTATGGCACCTTGTTTACATGTAGTGTGATCCCTATGTAACTAATTGCATGAGAATTTGTATATTACAGCAGGTGGCAAAATTATTCAAAACCTATGCTGTAGAGGCCCCCAAACTAAACAGTGCCTCTTGATCTTTTTTGTTGTGTGATTCTTTCAGTATATTTTAGATTTTCAATTGGATCAAATTATGGATCTCTGTTTCAGTATTTTTTTTTCTTGTTCCCTGCCTCTTGTCCTTGCCTGTTTGTTTGTTTGTTTGTTTGTTTTTGTTGTTGGGTTTTTTTTGGTCTCTAAATATATTTCAGGGAATGTGTCCTCTCTACCCTGGTCTTTATATATTTTTTCCCTCCAGAGGGCCTCAAAACACTACCATTAGGTTAGGAGCTTCCTTATGGTAATTATTTTATAGAGTTTAAGGACCCTGAACTTACTTGAAATAATGATTGGTTGTGCCACAAGGGTGCCCTGGGTGTTGTCCCCTTAATCCCAAAGGCCAGAATCTTCGTGCAGAAGGGGGAGCACAACAGGGGTACTTAAGGGTCCTGGGGAGCCCTCTGGTATCAGGGATGTGGACACAACCAGCCACCTACTGGCTGCCTTTGCCCCCTCTTCTTTCTCTGTTGAATAACTAACTGCTCTTTCACAAGTGACAACTAGATAGGGCCATCTGCACTGTTGTGTTTACCCTCTTTTACCCCGATCCATGGGGTATGTTGGTGCCAACCCAGCCTCTGTCACAGCTTCACTCTGACATAGATAAATTCCAGTAGAGACATCAAGCCAGGACCACTGTAAGGAGGGCCCTAATCCCATACTCCTGTTCCCAAATGCCTAGAAATTCTCAGATCTGCACATTCTGGTTGGCAGCTCACCGAACTGAGGCTTGGTAGTCTCAGCAATGCCACACAGGGCACAGCTCACAGCAGAGCAGGTGAGCAAGTCAAAGCAAGAGGAGACAGACCAAAGTAGTGGTCATGTGGGGACATGCTGCTCACATAGCCAACTGTTATGGTCACCTGCAGAGGCGTGGTTCCCAGGCTGAGATTAATGCTGGTGTGCACCCCCCCAAACACACACACACACACACACACACACACACACACACACACACACACCTGGAGAAGGCAGGATACAGCTTGACTTACATAATAGAGGTCTTTGAGAGGACAGGGCAGGCTACTCAAGAAGCTGTGAAAAAAGCTTCAGAGAGCAAGGAAAAGAGCCCAGCCTGGGACTTTATTGTGGCTGGAAGTGTTAAAGAAAAAAAGATTCAGTGGCACTTCTCAATGATGGTAAGGCACATTGTATTCAAAACCATTTCAATAGGTACAGAGACAATTGTGGTAGGATTTCTTAGTGGGTGAGAAATAAGACTGGGCTCAAATCTGAGAACAGCATAGGCAAGTGGGAATTCATGGCCTAAGGGCAGGTAGGAGATCAGTGAATGGAAAATTACTAAGAATCAGATGTTAGAAGATTCCTGCTAAACTGACCAAACAGGATTCTTACTATAGACAGGCCAGGGGGATCAGACATCACCTGATGATGGAGGAGGAACCTGATCAGACATGGAGGGTGGTCAGATAGGAGGGTGGGGGATTCTGGATCACCTGACTTGGCAGGGTTCCTGTTAAACAGAGTTTTACAAGTGCAAAGATAGGCCTAGGAGAAAGTTCAGGAGCCTGGCTAAAGTTGCTTAAGCAAAGAAGAATTTTGCACACAAACAGGAGCTTGTGTGGTTGGAATCTGAAGCCAGTGTCAGAGGAAGGAGCCCTGGACTTTTGCATCAGCCTGTCCAGGGGTGGACAACAAGGAAAGAGGGAGGGGGAGGCTTAAGCTCTCAGCAAATACCAAACAATGTGGAGTCTGACTGCTCATTATAAGGACAAACATGGGTAAGAAAAATATGTATTTGCAATGACTTGTTTATATATAAAGAAAGTCCAAGAAATGTCCAAGAAATGATCAAAACTGTGTATTTGAGGGTGGCTGCAGTAACATTGCTACAGGACCAGGATATGTGAGCAGTGGGTCCTCATAGTTAGATTTTTCTATCTTACAAATTTAAGATAAACTCAGAAATTTATATACACCATGTTTTACCATCTAGTAGTCCTTTAATTTTAACTTTTGTACATAGTAAAGTACTGTCAGGATTCAATCCCTTTAAACATAAACAATTATAAAAAGTATATACCACACAAAATAAAAAATTTCAAAATTCTTGCCAACTAAAAGGACAAGTTGCATCCTAGTTTGTCCCTTCTCTATATCTCACACAGGTGTTATTTGAGGAATAAGTAGCATATATAATGCATTAGGGATTTCAGTTATGCTCCAAAAGGTAGTAGGAATTTTAAAGATAAGCTTTGATTACTTTTCCTTACATCAATTGAAATAATGACTTAGTTGTGCCACATCAATCACTTTAGCCGTTTAAATTTCAACTAGAGGCCTGATGCACGAAATTCGTGCAAGAGTAGGCCTGCCTTCCCCTGGCTGCCGGCACCAACTTCCCTCTGGCACTAGGGACACGGGCTTCCCTCGGAGCCTCAGCTTCGTCCGGAATGTCTGTCGTCCGGTCTAATTAGCATATTATGCTTTTATTATTATAGATGTTCTTTAGGGACATGAATACCCACAAACAAACATGGATGTAAAAATGAAAAATGGATCTATGAGGTTAAATACATTTATCTCATATCAACAGGTTCTCTTGCTTAAAGGGAACAAAAATTCTATTTAGTTCCACTATTTACTTGCCTTACCAACATCATCTCTCTCAATCAACTTACATGTTTAATCCCAAGAAACCAAAAATCATATTTCCCACATACAGAATAAATTTGCCAAGTGCTCAGGGAAACTAGAGTCAAAGGCTGCACTATTCAGTTGATAAAGGACCAAAAGAAACAAGTACTGGAATCAGCTCAGATGAGCAGCCTGCTTCCCACAGGACAGAAGGAGAGCCACTTTCAGAAGGTTCCACATCCCAAACTCTCCAGGTTGAGACAGACAGAACCCCTGCAGTGGATCTGTCCCTGGGGAAGGTGGGGAGGGACAACCTGAGCAGCCCCAGGAGTGAAGTCTGGGAGCTCCAACACCCTCCTCTCCCCGGGGAACAATGGAATTGCTCCCTCTCTCAAGCTTCAGCTCACAGTGAGGAATGCTCAGCTGGATTCAGTGTCGGGTTCTAACCCAAATGAACTCCCAAAGTCACAATCCCTAACCCAGGACACACACTCCTGACTTTCACAGACTTCCTCAACGTGCACAAATGACACTCTGAGTGCACCCACACTGGGGATGCAAAACTCCAACCAATATGCCTAGAAACAGGCCAAGGGGAAGCACAACTAAAACCTCAGAAGGAGCTTCACACTCCTCCCCCAGGTGTACCTGCACCCCCAGCTCTCCAGGCTATAGAGGCTCCTTCCATGGTGGGTGTGAGCAGGTAGGACACCTGCAGGGAGAGGCTCCCCAGAAAAAACAAGCTGAGCCTTCATGTACTTCCCTTTGCAGGCTCAAGGGGACCTTAGTTTGGGTCACTGACAATAGGCTCCCCAAAATGGAGCTGCTCTGGACTATCTATATGTGTTCAATGACATAACGCCCGTTGGAACAATCTGGCAAAAACACTAAAACCCAGTCTTCAAGAAAAGGGATGAAAATTGTAAGGCTGATGATGGAAGGAGACTTGACTTGGGGTGGTAAACACACAATACAATACACAGATAATGTATTGTAGAACTATGTATCTAAAACCTGTACAGTTTTATTAACTAATATCACCTCAATAAATTCAACGAAAAACAAGAAAATTGTAAGGCACTTTGCTGACTGAACAAGAAACCTCGTAAGTATGTATTGGATTGCCAAAAAAAAAGATGTTCCATACCTAGGAAAGATTCTGGGAGGTCTGGCAAAAGGATTTTATACAATGTAGTTCCGGTACATTTCTCTCATGTAAAATATCCACAAACAAAAAATAAGCTCCATTAAAACAGCCATCCCTTGGACAAATGAAAATTACAATATGGGTCTACATAGCACAGAATGCAGAATCTCGGAGGGAAGGGAGGGAAGGTGGGGAGGTGGGAAGTGACCAACCAAAGAACTTGTGTGCATATATGCATAACCCATGGGCACAGGCAGCAGGGCGGTGAGGGCCTGGGGCGGGGCGGGCTGGAGGGAAATAATGGGGGAAGAGGTGGACATACGTAATACTTTCAACAATAAAGATTTATAAAAAAAAAAATAGAAAATAATCACATTGCTCAACTATAAAAAAATAAGTAAAATTTGGGTCTGTTTGAAATGCACCCCGAAGGACAAGTAGTTGATTATGATTCTTGAATCAGAAAGGGAAATTGGCGTTTGGGAATACAGGGAGGGAGGGACTTGGAAATTTGGGCAATTCTTGTCAGATTGGGGTGGTAGAGGGTCCAGGGTTGTGGGTTTGAGACCCCCCGCTCCCTAAACATTGGGGAAACTCAGGAGAAAACGGGTCCCCCTGCAAAGAAAGGACGGACTTGGAAGCCCATGGACCACACCTCCTCCCACGCAGGACACCACGGAGTCACGACTGTCCCCTGATGACCCTCCCTGTGGTCACCACACCACCTGGGAGACTCAGGGGGGCGGGCACGGAGAGGCTCAGGGGCCGAAGCCGCCGCTGGCAGTGACCGGACCGGACCGGACGCTCGGCCTCGGCTGCCAGCTCTGCCCCAACCCACGGGCCGAGGAGACGGAGGGCCGCCCCGCCCCCCACCCCTCACCCCCTACCCCCGACCCCCGGGGGGAGGATGGGGGCTCATCTGCAGACTCCGAACCTGACCACTGGAGGCCGGGCCGGCCACTCGTCCCAGTTCGGGGACACCAGTCCCACACACTCACCATTTCCCAGCTTCTAGGGTCCCCCCGGCAACGCCCCTTCAGCTACCGCAGGCGGCTTAGGTCACAGTGGGACTGGCGCTGACGCAGACACACCTGGGCCGTTAGCGTCAGCCGCGCAGGAGACACGTGACCCAGGAGCGTCCACACGGTTGGCTGGGTGTTGCTTCTGCGCCTCTGATTGGACAGTTCACAAAGACCCGCCTCCCGCATTTCCTAGCGACAACTCGGGGAACCAGCTTTGTCCTGGGGGTGAGAACTGGCCTTCAGGGACGGGTTGTTCTTCTTTTTAAGTTTTTATTCATTTTAGGGAAAGGAAGAGGGCGGGAGCGGGGGAGCGGGGCGACGGAGCGGAGGGGAAAGAGACAGACAGACATGTGAGAGAGACACATGGGAAACCGAGGCCAGGGATAGAGCCTGCAACCCAGGTTGGTGCCCTTGACCAGGAATCCAACCCGCCACCTCTCCGTTCCTGGCCAGCACTCTAACCAATGAGCCACACCAGTCAGGGCAACAAGAGAGGTTTGAACTGCATGTGTTCCCTTATAAGCAGCAGCTCAGACCCTTGTTTTTAAAGGGAGGCTGTAGTTTCCATCTGTGGTTGGGAAAACCACGTGGAGGACTGGTTTGAGTTATGCAAAGATTTTTGACTGGGCAGTTGGCACCCTAATCCACACCTTGATCAGGGGACAATCCATATTCCCATAACACACTTAAACTTGGTAAATACAGTTATTTACAATTTTAATAACTTTAAAAGTTTTCTAGACAGCATATATAAATTACCCGAGTCTTATCAGATTATTTACATTTTTTTTCTTTCAGTGGGAGTTTTCACATGTAAAGATGTGGCCACACTAAAATCTTTCTCACACTATTTACATTTACTAGGTTTTACTCAGTGAGTCTTCTTATGCCTTTGAAAAGGGGAGGGATCAATATAGGCTTTCCCACATTCTTCACATGTATACGGTTTCTCTCCAGTGTGCACTCTCAAATGTAATTAAAGGATTTTGTTACAAGTGAAGGCTTTTTTACATTCCTTGCATTTAAATGGCCTCGCTCCATGATGCTTTTTCATGTATTTGTGAGGAACTATAATCTCTGTAGGTTTTACCACATTGTTTACATTCATAGGATTTCTCTCCAGCGTGTGTTCTTTCGTGTCTTTGATACCAACTAAGGCGAGCGAATGCTTTTCCACATTCCTTACACTGACAAGGAGTATTTCCAGTGAGCATGCATATTCATGTGCACTCAGAGGGAGCTGTGGTAACTGTAGGCTTCTCCACAATGTTTACATTCATAGGATTTCCATCCAGCGTGAGTCTCTTCGTGTATTTGTAAGGTACTGTCTTGTTTGAGTGTTCTCCCACATTCCTTACATTTATAGGGTTTTTCTGCTGTGTGAGTCCATTTGTGTGGTTCTAAGGAACTGCCATGTCTGAAGGCCTTCCCACATAACTTACATTCATAGCATTTCTCTTCAGTGTGAGTTCTTTCCATGTCTTTGAAAACTTCGATAATTTCTGAGGGCTTTTCCACAGTGTCTGCACCGGTAGGACTTGTCTCCAGTGCAGGTTCTCTCACAGGTCTGACTAGAAGCTGAAGAACTAAAGGTTTTCCCACGCACCTTATATTCATGAGGAGCATCTGCAGTATGTGTGATCATGTGTCTTTGAAGCAACTTGAGCCCCATAAAGGCTTTTCCACATTTTTTACATTTATAGGTTTTCTCTTCATTGTGAGCTCTTTCGTGGTTTTCAATACACTAAAGGGAACTAAAGACATGCCTTTGGCTTCTCTCTATATTTCTGATACTCAGAAGACTTATGTCCAGTGTGACATCTGGTGTGGGATGAATGATCTGTGAAGACTGTCCTACAGCCTCTGTATTCATATGGTTTTACTCTGGGACAAGATGGCTTGTTCAGGTTGAGATTTAAATTTCAGAGAAGAAGGGAGAGGGAGCGAGAGAGATAGAAACATCAATGATGAGAGAGAATCATTGATCGGGTGCCTCCTGCATGCCCCCTACTGGGGATTGAGCCTGCAACCTGGGCATGTGACCTTGACCGGAATCGAACCTGGAACCCTTCAGTCCGCAGGCCAACGCTCTATCCCCTGAGCCAAACCAGCTAGGGCCAAATATTACCATTTTAATACCATGATTGCATTGGGAGAAAATTCCTTTTTTTTTCCTTATTACTCACTATTTACAGCATTCCTAAGTCAGTCATATATGCATTCAATGAACAGAATTTAGTTCAGAACTAAAAGCTGTCCAACCAGCAAACCTGAGAGTCTATTTGGTCTTTGGTAACTCAAGTTTTAACAAGGTGCAGCAGACCATATTTTACTAAAGTCCTCCAGGACATTACAAGTAATCAGATGCATGTGGCTGAATGAAAATATTCTATGGAGAAGCACTGCTTTTACATATATATATATATATATATATATATATATATATATATATATATGTTTCAGGTGGAGATTAACAACAAATATGTATTTGTTGTTAATCTCCACCTGAAATACTTTTTCCATTGATTTTTTTCCCCATTGATTTTTTTTTAGAGAGGGAGGGAGGGGGTAAGAAAGAGAGAGATCCACATAAGAGACACATGGATTGGTTGTCTCCTGCACGCACCCAGACTGGGCCGGGCATTGAACCTGCAACCCAGGTATGTGCCCTTGACCGGGAATCAAGCCCATGATCCTTCAGTGTGTGGGCCAACACTCCAACCACTGAGCCACACCAGCCAGGGCTTACCTTGTATAATATCACAGTTTCAGTTCTTCCTTTCTCTTTCTGCAGGATTTGATAAGCTAAAACGTTAATCATGTGCCACATAATGACAAAGATGTTCTAAGATAAGTGTTGTTAGGAAATTTTGTCATTGTGGGAACATAATACACTGCACAGACACAAAATAGGGCCCAAATATTCTGTTCTAAATACAACCAGTTCTTAAATCTATGTCAGAAAAAAAAAATATGCAAAAACAGCAAAGAGACAGTAAGCAATATCTACGAGCCCTAGGACAATCTTCTTTAAATAAAAAGTTTAAAAATGCATAATGGTGATACCTTTAAAAAAGACAGGAAAAAAAATCAGTGCAGTACCAATCACTGAAATTTTTCTAAAGTTAATGATAGACACACCAAACTGTCAATCCAGGAAGCTCACAGGACACTAAACATGACAACCAACAGAAGTGTACACCCAAGTCTCATATTAAATTAGACAAAAATCAAAGGCAATTGAAAAAAGCCGGAGAAAATGCCTTACCAATACTAAACAAATATTAGAATTAAATCATGCTAGCAAGAGAGAAAAATAATATATTTAACTTTTGAAAGAAACAAAACACTATCCTAGAATTGTGTCAAAAAATTATCATCAAAAACAAAGAAAAATATGTATATTCTGAAATAAAAACTGAGGTAATTTGACATGAGCTGAATGAAACATTCAGAAATTTACCAAAAGAATGTAAATAATGATACTTGTCACTTTAAAACAAAGATTAAATGTCTTGTCCAGCTGGCCTGGCTCAGGGATTGAGCATTGACCTATGAACCAGGAGATCATGGTTTGATTCCCAGTCAGGGCATATGCCCAGGTTTCGGGCTCCATCCCCAGTGAGGGTGTGCAGGAAGCAGCCAGTCAATGATAATCTCTCATCATTGATGTTTCCATCTCTCTCTCTCTCTCTCTTCCTCTCTGAAATCAATAAAAATATTTTTAAAATTTAAAAATATATATATTTTGTAGTTCTTATCATCATAACAGATGACACTTTGTTTAAATCAATATACACTTAAATTTAAAATAATAATAAAAGCTCCATTCTACATGAAGGGATAGATATTCTGTATGTGTTTGTGCGTAACAAAAAGTAAACTACATTAGGCAAAAAGAAATAAAAAAATAGATGAAAGCACTAATATAGTTGTCAACTTCAACAACCTCTTATCATGAATTATTTCTAGCAGAAAGAACATCACCATGGACAGAGATGAACTCAGACATGCTATGTAACAAATGGATTTAACTGTAACCTGTGAAATACTTCATGTAAGAAGGGCAGGATACACATTCCTCGTGAAGTTCACAGGGAACATTCACCAATACAGAACACATCATGGGACACAAAACATTAACAAATTTGAAAGAACAGATATCATACAAAATATGCTCTCACATCAGAGACATTACTCTAAAAATCAATAACAGGATAGTGAATAAATCCCCAAATGTGCAGTCACTTGAAAAGTCACTTCCAAGTAATATATGAAATCAAAAAAGGAGTCTCAAAAAAATTAAAAATCATTTTAAACTTGTTGATGTTTTTTGCAATCTGAGACACTGAGGCAAGCTTGGCGTGTAGGATGAAGTAGAGCAGAGGGCTACCGCTCGCTCAGGCGTGTAGCAAAAACCCTCTGATCCCTTCTGGCTTTTATTGGGGGTGAGCACAGCAAACAACAATAGAGTACAGCAAGTGACAATGATTAACAGGCATGCTTATGAGATCATCAGAGCTAACTTATACATTACACTATTAATTTCCTATGTTATACAAAGATTATTTCCACCTGCAGCAGTGCACCCTCCCTGGCTTTCCATGCCCTCATGGACTATTTATCACCTCAAGGAAAGTTCTGCCTCTGAACAGTAAGTCTTGCGTGCAAGACTTTGTTCTGACGCGGCCTGCTTGCAGGCTCCCGCCTTTTCTTGGCAGAACGTCCTCTTCTAAGTTAACTTTTCATTCCACTTGTCCATCTACATAAACTCCATGAAATGAAAATATAACTTCAGAAGTTGTGGGACGCAGCAGAGACAAGGCCCCAAAGGAAATGTATGGTACAAGAAATTCACTAGCAAAAAAAAAAAAAAAGCTATAATTATTAATGCAAGCATAATACACTGTAATAAGAGGAAGAGCTAATTAAAGTAAGCAGAATAAAATAATAATAATTAGAAAAGTGATCAAGGTAATTGTGAAAATTCAATGAAGAAAGTTCAAACAAAAATAGCTGGTTCTTTGCCTTGGCCAGTGTTGATCAATGATTAGAGCATCGGCCCA